TTTATTGACCTCCTAGCATTTGGGAAAATGGATGCCACAGTTCCCTTCCGATTTTGTTGCTGTTGTTGGTTGTTTTTTTCTTTTTTTTTAAGAAGTCTAACTATTATATGACAAGAACTTTAAGTCTTTGAAGAAAGAAATTGAAGAGGACACCAGAAAATGGAAGGATCTCCCCTGCTCTTGGATTGGGAGGATCAACATAGTAAAAATGGCAATTCTACCAAAAGCTATCTATAGATTCAATGCAATCCCCATCAAAATCCCATCAAAATTCTTCACAGATCTGGAGAAGACAATAATCAACTTTATATGGAAAAAGAAAAAACCCAGGATAGCCAAAACAATCTTATACAATAAAGGATAGTCTGGAGGCATTACCATCCCTGACTTCAAACTCTATTACAGAGCTACAGTTTTGAAAACAGCTTGGTATTGGCATAAAAACAGAGAAGTCGACCAATGGAATCGAATAGAAGACCCTGACATTAACCCACAAACCTATGAACACCTGATTTTCGATAAAGGAGCTAAAAGTATACAATGGAAAAAAGAGAGCATCTTCAATAAATTGTGCTGGCAAAACTGGATGTCAACCTGTAGAAGAATGAAAATAGATCCATATCTATCACCATGCACAAAACTCAAGTCCAAATGGGTTAAAGACCTCAATATCAGTCCGAACACACTGAACCTGATAGAAGAGAAAGTGGGAAGTATTCTACAACACATGGGCACAGGGGACCACTTCCTACTTATAACCCCAGCAGCACAGACATTAAGGGCCTCATTGAATAAATGGGACCTCCTGAGACTGAGAAGCTTCTGTAAAGCAAAGGACACTGTCACTGAGACAGAAAGGCAACCTACTGACTGGGAGAAGATCTTCACCAACCCCGCAACTGACAAATGTCTGATCTCCAAAATATATAAAAAACTCAAGAAACTAGACTGTAAAAGGCTAATCAACCCAATTATAAAAAGGGGCACGGAGCTGAACAGAGAATTCTCAACAGAAGAAGTTCAAATGGCCAAAAGACACTTAAGGTCATGCTCAACTTCCTTAGCAATCAGGGAAATGCAAATCAAGACAACTTTAAGATACCATCTTACACCTGTCAGAATGGTTAAAATCAAAAACACCAATGATAGCCTTTGCTGGAGAGGTTGTGGAGAAAGGGGTACACTCATCCATTGCTGCTGGGAATGCAAACTTGTGCAACCACTTTGGAAAGCAGTGTGGCGGTTTCTCAGGAAATTCGGGATCAACCTACCCCTGGACCCAGCAATACCACTCTTGGGAATATACCCAAGAGAGGCTTTATCATACAACAAAAGTATATGCTCTACTATGTTCATAGCAGCATTGTTTGTAATAGCCAGAACCTGGAAACAACCTAGATGCCCTTCAATGGAAGAATGGATGAAGAAAGTACGGAATATATACATATTAGAGTACTACTAAGCAGTATAAAACAAGGACTTTGTGAATTTTGCATGCAAATGGATGGAAATAGAAAACACCATCCTGAGTGAGGTAAGCCAGACCCAAATAGAGGAACATGGGATGTACTCACTCATATTTGGTTTCTAGCCATAAACAAAGGACATTGAGCCTATAAATAGTGATCCTAGAGAAGCTAAATAAGGAGAACCCAAAGAAAAACATATAGGCATCCTCCTGAATATTAACCTTCATCAGGCGATGAAAGGAGACAGAGACGGAGACCCACACTGGAGCACCGGACAGAAATCTCAAGGTCCAAATCAGAAGCAGAAGGAGAGAGAGCACGAGCAAGGAACTCAGGACCACGAGGGGTGCACCCACACACTGAGACAATGGGGATGTTCTATCGGGAACTCACCAAGGCCAGCTGGCCTGGGTCTGAAAAAGCCTGGGATAAAACCGGACTCGCTGAACATAGCGGACAATGAGGACTACTGAGAACTCAAGATCAATGGCAATGGGTTTTTGATCCTACTGCACGTACTGGCTTTGTGGGAGCCTAGGCAGTTTGGATGCTCACCAAACTGGATGGAGGTGGGTGGTCCTTGGACTTCCCACAAGGCAGGGAACCCTGATTGCTCTTTGGGCTGACGAGGGAGGGGGACTTGGTTGGGAGAGGGGGAGGGAAATGGGAGGCGGTGGCGGGGAAGAGACAGAAATCTTTAATAAATAAATAAATTAAAAAAACAAAGAAGTCTCACTATGTAGCCCAAGATAGTCATGAACTCACAATTCTCCTACCTCAATGTCCTTTACATTGGAATTACAAGGGTGTGCCCCCAAACCTGGTTACTTCCAGAAAATCTCAATGATCCATCACACTTATAACTCAAAGACCAACCCTGACTCTTTACTGCCATCAGAATCCTATCTCGGAAGATACTAGTGTATCCCAAATCTGTGTGGCATTGTACTAGAGAGTCTCACATTCTGATCTGCAACTCCAAAGTCAAGTGTGAGTGGGTGTAGAAGTCAGCTCGATTTGGTTAAGTACCCAGGCTAGCTAAAAGATACAGCAATTATATTTTTATTCATTATAAGGGGAAACTCACGATACAGGAACGAGAAGTCCAAGCTGTGCTGCGAGGGAACCACAGAAGAGCACACCTGGGCCACATGCCCGTTTTTTTTTTCCCCAGGTCCCAGATAGCCACACCCTAACTTGGTCCCACCTCTTAAAGATAATTGGTTGGCATAGATTTCCCATCAAGTGGGTAGCAGTGTGGGCAGGGTGAACATCATCCCAGTTAGAAAGAGTCAGAACCAATGTCAGCGAACCCCACTTTTCTACTCTTGGAGAATCTTGCCCTCTCACTTGGGGAGATGGATCCTCTATCGGCAAGGGTTCCCGAGTATGGCAGGACAACTCACTTGTCAACCTTGCTGGAGTTGTTGAGTTAGGCCACATCAGTTGGGATGTCACTCATCTCCTCAGTCTAACCTAGCTGAGCCTTGCTAGTACAGGTTTGCTTTTTGCTGACACTGTGGAAGAAGCTTAGCCTGTCTATTATCCCGTTAACCCTCCCAAACGGTCCAACCTAGAATCAAGGTATGCTATGTTTGGCAAAGACTCCAAAGTTCGTGGACTTAACGGGGCCAAAACTGAGACTCAGTAAATTACTTACATTGATCCAGTAGCAATCCTTTATAATTATCTAAACAAGTCTCCTTTTAAGACAAGAACTTCCTTAGCTGCTTTCCTACCAGAATTACAGGCGCATTCAAAGTCTGATGTTTGAATTTATACATAATGAGATCATCTTCAGAATCAGAAACCACTTTGTAAAACAAGGTTAATCATTTGTTTCTGGCCTCCTAAGATGCTGTGAGAATTTGAGATATTGAAAGCACATCACTTATCATGGAGCCTGAGCTGTAGGGAATGTTGAGCTCATGGGACTGGACTTTGCCACTAGCTGTTTGTGTACTCCTGGCACTTCCAGAGACTGTAGACCAATTTCTTAGGAAGAAGTCTATTCTATCACAAATGACCTCTCCAACCTTCCTTCCTCCCTTCCTTCTTTCTTTCCTTCTTTTTTAAGTCCTTTCTTTCTTCCCTCCTGTTGCACTTTTTTTCAAACAAGGTTTTGACAACTTCATATATGTTTATAATGTATTGTGAATACATTCACACCTGCTACTCTCTAATAAATCTAATTAATTAATTTAATAAATCTCCCACTCCTACAAACCCCATTCTTTCCCTCAAATAGCCACCTCCTTCTTTCCAATTTTATTTTTGTGTGTTGGTCTTGTGCAGGTGGCCACGGTTACTGAATGTTCATCATTACCTGGCCATGTCGTATCTGAAAGACAACACCTCATAGCACTTGTCTCCACCCTTGAGCTCCTTTTATCCTTTCTTTCGTGATCTTCCCTGGGGGTTAAAGGATTGGTATAGGTGTCCTATTTACAGCTGCTCAGTCATTTGTTCTCAACATTTTGATCAGTTATGAGTTTCTGTATTAACTGTCACTCACTGTAAATAGAAGATTCTTTGGGCAAAGTGGATAGCAGGGCAGGTCTAAAGGTGTAAACCGAATATTTACCAGATAGTTTGATTACATATCCATTTTACTGCAACATACCCAGGTTTACAGATTTACAACATCATATACATATTTTTTCCTGCAGAGTAGGTCGAAAATCTAATCATAAAGTGGTTGGTTACCTCAAAGCAGTCATGCCGCTATTGCACCAGGGAGACCATCATGCACTAGGGCAGATTGACCAGTATTTTAAGACTCAGAATCCAGAGCTGGGTGAGAAAGGCCTTGTTGCTTTTTCTTACCCAGGAGCCCACACAGCTCCTTGTAGCATTATAAATAGTGGCCAGCTTGTTCCATATGAACTCCATTTCAGTCTCTCTCTCTTCTAGACATCTGGAGGGCAGTGTTCACTCCCTTAAACAGCCAAGACCAGTATCATTTCTTCTCTCACATGACAACTTACTGAATACCAGAAGACAGCAACTCTGTGGCTTCTAGTAATCGCTCATCAGACACTTCCAGCTTTGTTTCCCTAAAAATGTATTTCCAGGTAACCCACCTAATCATGGCCTGAGTTTCCAAATCTGCCAGTAGTGTCTAGCAGCAAATAGGTGTGTCATGAACGAGCATTCTTGAGTTCATGTCTCTTTGGCCTATGAAGTAAAGTTTCTGTATCTGAACGTACCTATGGCCTGACAAGTGCAGAATATCGGAAAAAACTGACCTTCTCCAGACTCCGTTTCCCTACTCTGACTTAGATGCCATACTCACAAATGTAAATGGAATGACAAAACCTTTATTAGGAACCAACTCATTGAACAATCAGCTTGTAAAATCCCAGATTTTGTTTTGTAACTACCTATTGTCAAGTCATGTTTCTTTCAAGCTATTATTACCAACTCAATTTAATCTAGTTAAAGAGTCTTTATTCATTTTGTTACATACAACGTATTGCTTAGGGCACTAAGTCTACTGAAGGCTTTCAGTGTCCTTGCTTTGTCCTCTAGCGCATGAGCTATTCCTTGCAGCTGAAGTGTGAGCGTGAGGAAGTGATCCAGGTCGCCTCCATCACTAGCAAACACGATGGCTAAAGAGGCAGAAATGACCTTCAGGGCAGCAGAGTTCAGACCATGCTGCATTCATCACTGCGGTGAGCACTCATAAGGTCTTTGGGGAACCATCTCTTCTCTTATGTGGCTACAAAGGCTCTGCCTCTGGGATATGGCTTTCACAATGCTAGACGGATCCGAAAGGTTTGCTTCTTGCCTGAAATTGGTTGGCTCAAAGTTTCCTTGGCACAAGTGAATCAGTTAAATCTCCTTCTCCTGAACAAAAACTCAGGATGCTGGCATCCAGTCTAGTCTTTTGAGTAGAGGAGGGGGCTAATATTCATAATGTTCAAGATCTATGATTCTTTTTTTCCCAAAGTCTAGGGAGTAGAGAAGAAACCATGAAGGAGGCATTGAGATGAAATGTAAAGAGCCTACATACATAGATGGCCTTAGTCCTTTGTGGCATCCTCATTCTTTCTGACACAGCTTCTATTTTATATTCAGTCACCTTGGTGGGAATGATCGTGACCTGAAGACAGACAGTCCTAGTTAGGAGGTGACTCCCTCCTAACTCCTGCTCCATCTCTTAATCAGTTTGTGTTTTACTCCTCTCTATCCAGATCCCTCTGTTTTGAGTCCGGTATCTGTGGAACTTGAAGCCATGGTAAAGGTTCAGCAATGCATTTTTTGAGGAGACACTTATTCAAGAAGTTGTCTAGGAAGAAAAAAATGAAAAGGGAGAGAAATCTGAATAAAGAGACAGTTTTAGGTGATCCCAAGTTGGTCTAAGGTACAGGAGTATCTAGAGATAAACCACATCATAGATTTGTTTTTGAGTGAAGAGAGGAGAATGGAATTTTGTCGTGAGCCACGCTTTTTGGGGATGACTCTAGCTGGAATCCTAACCACAACAGATTCGAACGTTTCAGGGTAGGGGTGTGAGGGTTAGAAACATTAGGTAGGAGAAACAGAGACAAGAAAGAAACACAGAGACCCAGGATAGTACCCGGAGGGCAACTCAGCGGAACCCGATGCTGAATTTTGAGTTTTGACTTCTGAGTCCCCCCACATTTTTTTCCATACACTTTTATACCCCAATGTGAAAGGGCAGAAGAAGACAAAAGACTTCTTTCGCTTGATACAAAGGACAACCAGAACAGTCATTTGCTCCAATACTCGAGACATCAAGCCATTATTTTGTAAGCAAAGCATTAAATGTTTGGGGCAGTGAACCCACCCTAGGCCAAGTATCCTGCAAGCAGCCATTCCCCAAGTCAAACTCCCTATTTAAGTCTGCTTGAATTCTCTGACCTTTGGTCAGGGTGGAGCAGATCCACCTCTACGCGCCATCTTAATGTCCAAAACACCCAGGAACCACACCCTAGGTCAGGGTGTGCAGCCACAGTTGTTGTCAACAACTCCAAGAGAGCAAAATAAACTCAAACTGTCTGACCTTCAGATGAGGTGGACTAGCCTCACATTTTTGTGCCTCCACAGACTTTTGTGTCCCGGGTTTGCGGCCATGGCGGAGAGGAAGCACAGCTAGCCTCTTCACGCCATCTTCGAGAAAGAGTGAGGCTTTAAGCTGTGAACCACCCATGTGACTGGCAGCTGGGGGAGGACTTTACCGCCCGGTAAAAGGTTGTGAATGGGGTACCGAGACGGTCTACACCAGAGTTATTTATTGTAATATAACTCTGCCTTCCTCCTTGTAACATGCTCTTTCAAGGACAGAGCCTACCAAACCTCTCAAAACACAGAGGGCCTGATAAATGCCAGTTGCCCTTTTCTGACTTTTATAATTACACCCGTCCTTTTGTTGCTCTGTAAAATATGCTGAAGATGAGAGGAGTCTACATAAGACAGCAGTAGGTGAGGGCATCTGCCATGCTTCTCTCGGGACCGACCACTCATTTCTTCTTCCGTGATGAGAGCATGTTTGATTTCCCATTGGGAAAAATCCTGACCCCTGACACAGAAGCTGTTCTGCTCCAGGATGGAGTCCTATCACTTCCAGCTGTCCACGATTCCACACCTACAAGGATTGCCTTTGAAGTGAACACAAGATCCAATTAGGAGCAATAAATGCAGGGAGACTCTTCCTAGGGGAGTCAGTGGAAAATGCTTCCTTGGGCTTATTAAAACTGGGAAAGATTCCCATTCTTCTTTGCCTTCTCCCTCGCCCTTCCTCTCTCTCTTCTGGCTGGTGTTGATGATATCAAAGCCATTTCTGGAAGCTGAACCTGAAACCAGCCCTGGAGGAAAGCTGCGACAGCTTGGGTAGACAGGAAGCCCTCCTAGCCATGCTGCCCCTCAGAACATGGCTGATCTCTGCTGCCTTCAGCCATATCTGAAATCATTGTCTCTTGAATCCATCTGTGTGTGAACCAAAAAATTACACTATTTGCCTTAGCCACTTCAAATAAGGCTTTGTTTTTTTGAAACACAAACTATCCTAAGTGACAGACTACTGGGAGTGGGAGGAGGAATGGATTACAGTCTGGGAATGTCACCACCCACTTGTTTCTGGCAAACTTTCATGTGCAAACCCTCCCCTAGAGTCCTGTCATTTGTTCACGTTCAAAAACAGGAGCAGCCGAGCCTGCAGCCATGATAATCACTGGAGCAGCATCCTGACCTGGCTTTCAGGGACTTGCCTTCCCTGGGTGTGTCTGACTTACCGATGTGGTGTCTGGAGCACTGATCACTGCAGTCCTACCGGCTTCATTTGGAAGTCCTCCGATTGCTAGTGCAGCTTTGCAGAAACATCTCTTGACACAAGCAGAAAAATGACCTTTCATGTGTGTGCATGTCCTCTCTAGTTTCAAACTGCATTTACATCCTTCTGAACTTTTTTGGAAATAATCAAAGCACCTACGATAGTTTAAGACTACTTACTTGTGTTGTCTAATGACTCTCTCTCTCTCTCTCTCTCTCTCTCTCTCTCTCTCTCTCTCTCTCTCACACACACACACACACACACACACACACACACACAAGTTGTCTAAGAACTAATGTGGAAAGGGGCTGAGTGCAAGAACACATCCCAGGCCATACAAAGCATACAGACACCAGGAGGCATCAATCACTTTATCTTCATCTCCCTTCTTTCCTACAGTTCTCCCAGAGTTCTCTTTGAAGAGAGCCATGGAATTTGCCCACGCATTGAGGTTATTGTGCCCCTGGATGGATTTATTTTGGAAATAATGATCTTGGTTATTACCGTGGCTAGTTCTCTCTTTGTTTCTTTTCTTCATTTACAGTGCCTAATGCCATCTTTGACCAGATGGAGAATGCAATTAAAATAAATATAATGTAATATAAAAATAAAACAGAACATATTGCTTTTGCAGGGCAATCTGGGCCCAAGATTTTCTGCAGTGGAAATTACTGGCTAAATAAACCTATCTCCTCGTTGACACAAAACTGAGAAGAGATGCAGGTTACAGTGAAAAGAAAAGAAATACGGTTATTTCCTAAATCAAGGCAAAAGAAGTTTTGCCCAAATAGAAAATTATTGAAGTATAAAAAGTTTTTCTTTTCCGTCTTTATATAAATACCATCAGAAAAGTCAATGGTGCAATGCAGGTGCTCCAGGGAGTGAGGAGATGGGTGTGGTAGCATCTCATGAAGAAGCCTCCAGTCTAGTGAGGCAGGAGCCATGCTGGTGCAAAGGAAACAAGAACTGCACCAGGTGGCCTCGAATAAAGACGTCACAACTGTATCCTGGCTAAGGCCCTGGGCCCCTGTGCTGCCACGTCTGAAATGCATTCTGCCCAGCCAGATAATCCTAACACAGAGTGGTCGAGAACAGCCTCTAACATTTACCCATTTCAGGTACTGTCTCAGCAAAGGGATTTTTAAAATACAAGCAGCACACAAATTCAGATGTGTGAAAATGAGGATTTGTTGGCCGCACCCATGCCCTTCTCTGAGAACTTGACAGCCCTGCCCTTTTGGAAGACAAGAAGCAGACTTGATGCTCAGTAAGAACCCGCAGAGTCCCAACCAGGCATCCTGTGACTATGGGTCATTGGTCTCCACCACCATTTCATACACCAACTTGCTTTCTCTCACTTCACGTGGTAGCCTAAAACCATGTCATATCCCCTAGTGGAGATTCCCAGGCAACTGATTATCACCCTAGGGCCAGCATTGCAGCAGAGTCCCTCAGACTGGGTCGGCTTCCATCTCTGACCAGGAAAGGGGCCATTAGTTATTGTAAATACAGTACCACGAGTTCAAGATTTTGAACAGGTGGAGCATTCTCAGAAAAGACATCTCAGACCTGGCATGGTGGTACACACCTTTCCTCCCAGCATTCAGGAGCCAGAAGCATGTGAATCTTTGTGAATTCCTTTCCAGCCTGGTCTACATAGCAAACTCCTAGATAGCCATAACTGCATAGAGACTCTCTCTCTCTCTCTCTCTCTCTCTCTCTCTCTCTGTGTGTGTGTGTGTGTGTGTGTGTGTGTGTGTGAGAGAGAGAGAGAGAGAGAGAGAGAAAGAGAGAGAGCGCGAGAGAGAAAGAAAGAGAGAGAGAGAACTTGTTTCAATTAGTTCATGATATTCCCATTTGCTGATTGTTTTTCCTGTGATTGCAAACCATAAACTGTTACTTTTCCCCTTTCTCCATGATTTATCCATTTGCCTCTTCCAACACTTGAATGCATGGCTGATAGAAGTATATCGGAAAGCTTATATCCCTGGTCAAGAGTGGGAACCGAGTGTACTGATAATCTTTATTCTTTTTGACTCTGATCTCTTTGAAACCCGTGCACATACTAACACCATACCAAAATCAGCAGGGACATGGCTTTACCTGGAGAATTTCTAATTCTGGATAAGTTAAGAATCTTCAGAAAGGTTGAAAAGTCATCTTATACCTGTTGCATGCCAAGAGGAATATCTGCAGTGTCATTTGAAGAAAGGAATAATTAACCATGCCTTGAAGAATGCTGACTCAAAGGCACACTGCAATTGGGCTGAGAAATTCCTACTGATACCTTGATCACACAATTTTAGGTCTTTTATTTGTG